CTTTCAATACAGAGCTGAGTTTAGCCGGAGCTCTATATCCAGCACGGTCACTCGTCTGGACTGATCGACGAAGGTTGTAGCTGGAAGGAGACGCCGGTGGATTCTGGGTGCCGCCTAGGAATCGAGTTAGGTTCTCAACACTTGGGCCTCTCATGGTGGAAGAAGGGAAAGGGGAGAGCAGCGCCGAACTTATGATGGGAGCTGTTCCCAAGCCCGAGTCGTCTTGAAGGGAAAAGTTGGTTAAATTTGGTTGGAATCGCTGCGTACCGTAACTCAAGAAAGCATTTTGTTTACAAGGCTGCTACCATCTGTGTAACCGACCATACTTTATATACATAATACAGTGAAGCGAAAAACTCACGGTGAGAAACAACAAACAGCGGAAGTTTAATCAACAGTTTCGCCGAGAGACTCGGCTTGGTCAGGAGATGTCGTGATATATATATACATATATATATATATATATACATATATATATATATATACCGCAATATTGACAGGGCAAAAAGTCCAATAACCCAACAGGACAAGCGCTAACGCTCAACCAGTCGTAAAAGAATCGAACTTGCGCCAACACTCAGAATTCGATTCCCTCACGACTGGTTGTGAGTCAGCGCTTGTACTGTGTGCTTCTTCGTCTTTTTGTTCCGTCTTTAAATGTCAATTACCAACTTGCCCAGCAGACCAAGCTATATATATATATATGTCAGAGATCCTTACTTGTGGAGTTGCTATGCTAGGAGTTTAATGTATGTGTGACGACAGTTTCTCCGAGAGGCTCGGCTTCGTCAGGAGATGGCCTACATGTATGCCATCTCTTGACGAAGCCGAGCCTTTACCATTTAAGAATGGAACCGTCGGACAGTTTAATTATCAGTTCAACCCATATCATGTTCTTCTCGGTTTTACAAGAAGCTTTTTACCGTTAAGAGTCAGATTTCTTATGTTATTATTCTGAGCGTGAATTCTATTGTCTGTTTTCGTTTGTTACATTGTAACCCCTCTACAATAATGTACCCTGGGCGATGTAGGTATATGCATAAATAAAAATAGATATGTCCGTGTGCAAGGGGTGTATATCCTTTTATACATTGTATATTATAGTTATTCAAAATTGTTTCCCCTCGGCGGACAGCTCGAAGACGAACATGCGTAAGGGTACCAATTTACTATCTAGCCATGCACAATGCCAAGTGGACACAAGAAAAGAGGCAAATTAAAAAATTAATATTAAATATTTATTATTATTATTAGTTTGTTTTAGGTAGATTTATACTTCAGACGTGGTATCTTTGCATTTCACCTGCCAACAATGCCAAGTAACTCACTGGGTTAATCTAGAAAACTATTTTTCTGACCTTTATAACAACCAAAGTTGACACGTTGAAGCCGCAGGGTAAGAAAAGTATACTTTTAAAAGACACCTTCGCATAAGGTAACTTGCGTTGTTCAATTTACTTCATATTCCGAAAGCAGCTATTCCAGAGACTGCGCGATAGACTAAAAGTCAGCAGGTGTAAAGCAAACCATGTTTCAGCCGATGCTGCTGCAAAATCTCCAAATTATTAGAGCGGAAGCAATACCGCAGCTCTATCAGACTTTTCGTTTTTTTTAAAGCTATGGGTCGAAGCACTCATAACCTTTCTACTACTGCCTATAGAAATAGCTCTGTTATCGTTCCACGATAGGAACAATAAAGCCTTACCTCAAACGCCTAACATACTATCCATTGAAAGCAGAGCACCCTTTTCCTGGAGGCTGCAACTTTGGCGCCCGAGGCATTTTTGTGTATCTAAACACCCGTAATATCCGGCGGGAAAGAAAACAGCCCGGTGAAAATCACCAACTTTCTTCCGTACCTCTGCCAGCGCCTTCAAGAAACAACAATAAGATAGTATACAGCCTCGCCCGACGCCTCTATCGGAGCTTCACGCTAGACTGGGCCTTTTCTTCGCAAGAACAGGACCAGCAAACTTAGGGTCTCTGTAGCCCGCCGAGATTGCGGACAATGAAGGGTCCTGTAGTGCTATTTTTCTTCGGCTTCATCACTAAACGAACGAAAAAATATAGGTATAACAAAATTGCTAAAAACACAAGACAAGGTTTGTCGAGAAAATGTAGTAAGGAAGCACGCGTTCCGTGTTCCCTTGGTTGCTGTTCAAGCGAGTGGAAACAACAACGTAAGGCGACGCCCGATGCTTCGCTCCGCCTCCGATAAAGAGGATATTAATTACTTCGCAGTAACCTTAGAACCCGGTGTGAGCTTCCTCTTTTTGTTTTTCTCGGTGCTTGTTTCGCTTACGATGAATCCATCGGCGATTATGTTTGTTGCAATGAACTAATGGAGGACGAAAAAATATGCTGTCTCTTGCACCACCAAAGCACTGGTAAAGCGTGGCCGACACGGTGTTTGGCGTGGGCTCTGCTTTTGCTCCGAGCGATTCCATTCCACCCCGAGGGTAGGACTAAATTGGGGCTCAACTAAAACTTAATGCGCACTTATCAGTTTGTGCTTTCGGTTTTGTAGCGTTGAGCAGTTCGTCAGTGTCATGCCACGGCTGTGTCCTTCTATTGCCCCAACTGCTGTCTGGGAGAAACGGGCCTGTGCCCAGGGCGATTATTCTAACTCTGCTAAACCGCGCGATCACTGCCATTCTTCTAATGAACAAATCTGCTATCCAGCTCACTTTATATTTTAGTTATAGGACTCAATATCTAACTCTATATTTGCTTACTCCGCTGTGCCTGTTCTGAATTTTTGCACCAGAAGCAAGGGATCAAAAAAAGTCGTGACTATGCTCGTTTTGAGCCTTCGTGATCTTATCTCTTGGCCTGACGCTGATAAAGCGCGCGTTTCCGCTAAACCAAAACCAAAAAGTGCTATACTTCGCTTCACCTTATGTCCGAGCGCGGCCGATGTTATGAGCCGAAGGGCCAATCGAAGAGCGCGAAAAGCGCAGCGTCATGGCGTGCTCTCTGCGCTTGATAGGACTAGCCGGCGGAGGAGCCGTGCACAGAGAGACGGGGAATACCGGCAAGTCCTATCAACTGAAGCGAAAGAGGCACAAAGCTATGACGCTGTGCCTCTTTGGCTGTTTGATTGGCCCTTCAACTCATAACATCGTCGACCGCGCTCGGACCGAAGCTGAAACGAAGTATAAGCGCCTTCAGGCCCGGTAGTGTCCTACTCCTACCCTGGAAGCAGAATCGAATCGTCTGAAGCGCGTGCAACGCTCCCGTCCGCCGCTCTCTCGGCCACGTGCTTCCAGTAGGTCGTTGAGATTACAGGAGACTGTGCGTCCCGTGCGAGACCCTTGCTTTCCGGGGTGTTTGGAGAGATAAGAGAAACTTTCTTGTACGAGCGTCTTGTCACCCTGCGGTAAAATCGATGTCATCAAATTGACGTCTTTCGAGGTTGTTCACTCGGAAGCCTCTAAAAGTGCATCCGGCTGATCCATCAATGACACTGTGTTACGTCATTTAAGAACTCGATACTGGGCAACTAATGACGCCGTACTTGCCCTCGGTCGGGAGTTGCGAGAGAGTCTTTATGCCATGCGCCGCTTATCCTGCCAAGCGAAAACTTTTATTCAACACCCTAAATTGGAGTGTACGGTGTAGACAAGATGGAAAGATGTCAAGAAATCGAAAGTAAAACTAAAATGAAGATTGAATGAGTGTCTTAAGGGATCAGTCAAGCGGAAAGGTTCAAATGTTGCTCAGCTCATATCTGCCTTGCTGAGTTTGCATCGTGGCCCTGTATATTAGTTACGCGTTCAGGCGAGAGTTTCCACTTTGAAGGCATACGTACTACATGTGTGTGTAGGTTCGAGTAAATGAAAACTGCAAAGTGTGAAGTGTAAAAAAAAAAACGTAGGAACAATAATTAAACACGTATCTGTTGATCAGTAAACGAAGATAGATAACAAATCGCACAAGAAACCAGATAAATACAGTTACTCCCAGGATAATGTAAAACAAAAAAAAAAATAGTTTAGTAATTTCTGTGAACGTGGTAGCATATATTCAATTCAATTCAATGATTTATTCAGACAACTACATCAAACAGTTGTCTATGGGGCCGTCGCAAAAGGCAATTAGAAATGCTTGACAAGGCGTCGACCCTCTCCCTTCCCGTAAGCGGTCCTTAATGGTCGTATCGTAACGTGACGTAGGAAAATGGCCCGGTGTGAATCGACCGTACAACATATAATTTCACTTTTCTGTAAGAATCTCGCAACTTCTTGCAATATATAATTCTTTATTTGTTACCAGGAGAACAATAGAAAGTTTGCTGGGCTACAAGCTATGTGTGCGCAGTATTTTTCGATCATGACAAAAAGGTAACAGCGCAAAAGACAACTCACACACTCAGACCACACGCATATCATCAGAAAGGAACCTCTTACGTCGCCTTTCAGACGTTATTTGGACATCATCGATTTATTACTCGAAAATTGTTCATCACCGCTGCTCATTATCTGGAATCGAGCTAGAGCATTGTTCTGCGGGTGTGTTTGGTGTATATACACAGAAGGCCATTCAAGATGTGTCGTAGCGTTCACTGTAGTTCATCGAAAGGTAAAACGGAGAATAGGCGCTAAGTAACAAAACCCGTGTGGGGAATCGGCTGGAGGCCATGTTTGTCAAACAAACATCCGCCTGTTGTGGCATTTTGGGCACGGCGCGCGTCTCTGGAGTGAGAGTGCCAGAATTCGAGAAAGGCGGGTCACGTGGCTTGTCCCTGCCCACTGCACTATGCCCGGGGCTGTAATTGCGCCTGGTGACTGTTGTGTCGTAGTTTCGGTTTCTGTATTACGTCTGTCAACCTTGTATTGTGTGTGTCGCTAGTGTTGTAGTCTATATAAACATGTGTTCGCATAATAAAATTATTATTCAACTTCTCGTCACTTGAGCCTCGGTCGCAACACTACATTGGCGACGAGGATTAGTAGTTTCCCATGCGGCGTTACGCGTTACTTTGCCCGTAGCTTCGCGGCATGAGTTTTTCCGGGCTCGCTCCGCCTCCGCCGTTCCTCCCGGCGCCGGGCCGTCCAGCCGTTGCGTGGCCGCAATGGTTACGGATGTTCGAGACCTTTCTCCTGGCTTCTGGAGCGTCCGACTTCACACCCGAGCGTCGCAAGGCCCTGCTGCTGCACAGCCTCAGACTTGAAGGTCAGCGAATTTTCTTTTCATTGCCGCCTTCCTCGGACGTCTCTCAACCGTTCCGCCCGCAGCCGCCTCCACGAAGACGTCCGAAGACAGCGGCAAGCCTTCTCCGGCACTGTCCTCGTACGACCAAGCCGTCGCTGTTTTAACACAGCATTTCGCATCCGCGAGCAATGTCGTCGTCGAACGCCACAAGTTCCGTCGTCGCGTCCAGCAACCAGGCGAGTCTGCCCTCGAGTACGTTGCCGCACTACGAGAGCTCGCGACGCGTTGCTCATTTGCCGCCCTCGAGGACTCTCTCCGCGACCAGTTTTTAGAAGGCATCGTTTCCCAGCACCTTCGAGAGCGCCTTCTTCTTGAAGGTTCGGCACTCTCATTTTCGCGTGCCGTGCTGTTAGCACAGCAGCTCGAACAAGCGGCTCAGGAAGTGCGAGAGTTCACTCCTAGCCAAGTTCAGCGAGTAACTTTAAACGACAATCAGCACCGACCTATGCCAAAGCGGTCTCGCTCGTCTTCGTGTTGGCAGCCATCCCCGCCAGCGAGCAACCGCCCAGCGTCACGCCGCGACTCAGCTGTTTCAGGCGCCTCCCGGACCGCCGGCCAAAGTCAACTGTCTCATGACCACCGTCACTCTGTCAGCCCTAAGCGCTCGCGCGGATCACCTAATTCTCCGTCGTTCTGCTTCCGCTGCGGTTCCCGCCAGCATCGTGCTTCATCATCGCGCTGCCCGGCGCAACATCAGCGCTGCTTTCACTGCGGTAGGCGTGGCCATTTTCGCTCCTTCTGCAACAAGCTACAACACTCGTCCGCGCTCGCCGTGGCTGAAGTTGACTGCCGCCACTCATCCGATGATGACGAAGTTTTGAGCGTCCTTTCAGTGACTGGTCGTGCTCGCACCGGCATTTTTATCGACGTTTCTGTTGATGATAAGCCGTTAACGTTCCTTATCGACTCTGGTTCGTCGGTCTTGATTTTGGCGGACAGCCATTTCGAAAGGCACTTCACAACAGAATCGCTGCTTTCCGCTCCACGAGTGAAACTGTTCGACTACTCCAAGCAGCCCATCCCAGTACACGGTTGCTTTTCCGCTCGAGTTATGTTCAAGGGACGTGCTGCGCGCCTCCTGTTCTATTTTGTGTTGCAAGGCACATCTCTCCTCGGTATCGACGCTATCAAGGCTTTAGACCTTCACATCGAAGGCTCTACCCTTCGTTGCTTCGAGACAACATCGGTGCCAGCTGCAGGCGAAACCGACCAGACCTCCGCAACGCAGACTGTTCCTGTACCACCTCGCCTTCCGAAGACTCTTGCCAGCGAGTTCGGATCCCTCTTTGCTCCAGGACTTGGACTTGCCACGGGTTATATTCACAAGGTCAAAGTCAGAACCACGGTACCACCTGTCGCATCGAAGCTCCGGCGTCTTCCGCTGTCCCTCCGCCCTCAAGTGTCTGCAGAGCTCTGTCGCCTGGAAAACTTGGATGTGATAAAGCGCGTCAACGCCTCCGAGTGGGTGTCTCCCATTGTTATCGTGAAAAAGAAGGATGGCCACATTCGACTCTGCGTTAACCTTCGCCAGCCCAACAAAGCCGTCGTCACGGACAGTTTCTTTCTTCCACATGCAGAAGAGTTGCTGAACAGTTTAGCAGGCGCCACCCACTTCTCGATGTGGGACCTCGAGTCGGCCTACCACCAGGTGCTACTTCATTCCGACAGCCGTGACCTCACTGCTTTCGTCACGCACGATGGACTTTTTCGTTTCAAGCTTATATGCTTTGGCCTGGCATCGGCTCCAGCCGCTTTCCAACAGATGATGTCAAGGATCCTTCAGGGATGCCCCGGCGTTCTTTTCTACATCGACGACATCATAGTGTTCAGCAAAAGTGAGCAAGAGCACCTGGCCAACTTGACCACTGTTCTTCACCGCATCAAGGATGCGGGTCTCAAGCTCAACGCCAAGTGTGTGTTCACCGTCAAAAAACTCTCATTTTTAGGACATAAGGTGACTGCAGAAGGCATCTCGCCATTGCCACAGAAGGTAGATTCCATTCTGAACACACCTGCCCCAACCGACGCTGCGCAGTTACGCTCGTTCCTCGGCTTGGTCGAGTACTATGCCAAGTTCGTCCCCTGCCTTGCTGACGTGTTAGAGCCAATGCGAGTTCTGCTTCGCAAGAACCAGCTCTTCATTTGGAGCGACACCGTCGACGCCAGTTTTTGCAAGATCAAGTTCGTGTTGGCCTCCAGCAACGTGCTTCAGATGTTCGAGGCCAGTCTCCCCGTGGTCGTGTCCACGGATAGTTCAGACGTCGGACTTGGCGCTGTTCTTCAGCAGCTGGATGGTCACAGGCTGCGCACAATCGCTTTTGCGTCCCGCACGCTTTCGCCAGCAGAAAGGAAATACGCAGTCGGGGAACGTGAAGCACTCGCATGCGTCTGGGCTTGCGAGCATTGGCACACCTACCTCTGGGGTCGTCCTTTTACACTGCGTACAGACCATCAAGCACTGGTTTCCCTTCTGTCGTCTCAAGGCTCTGGGAAACGCCCCCTTCGCATCGAAAGGTGGTCTCAGCGACTTCTTCGCTACAACTACACTGTAGAGTATCGCAAGGGCTCAGAAAACCAAGGGCCGGACGCCCTCTCCCGCCTTCCATTCTCTGCTCTTCAGGAAGATGTCTCATTCGACAAAGAAGTCGTGGCTCTCGTTGCACCGCTCTGCTTGACCAAGGAGCAATTCGAGCAGTCGCTGTGCGAAGACGTTACCTTGGAGGAAGTCAGAGGTTACGTTACGTCATCCTGGCCTCCCCAGAAGTCTCTCTCGGGTGAACTCAAGCCGTTGTTCACTGTTCGCAAAGAACTGTCCGTTGTCGACAATTTGCTTCTGCGTGGGGAACGACTCGTTGTTCATCGGGCCCTCACTCCGCAGGTCATCGCCACTGCACACGAGGCCCACCCTGGGATAGTTCGGACCAAAGCGCGTCTCAGGGAACGTTTTTGGTGGCCAGGTATGGACAAGCAAGTAGAAGCAGCCATCCACAACTGCAGGATCTGCCAGTCTGCAGACAAGACGGCCAAGACTGCAGCTACTCCGTTGCAACCGGTTCCTCTGCCAGAGCGTCCATGGCAGAAAATCGACATCGACATCGTTGGCCCTATGGAAAGGGCCCCACAAGACTGCAAGTACGCCATCACTTTAGTCGACTATTTCTCCAAGTGCCCTGAAGTGCAGTTCTGCAGAGAAGTTTCCACAAGCACGGTTACCAGTTTCCTGCATTCTGTCTTCGCCCGCGAGGGTTACCCGGACGATGTTGTTTGCGACAACGGGCCCCAGTTTTCGTCACAAGAGTTCATCTAGTTCTTAAAGGACCGCGCCATTCGCCTTGCCCATTCTTGAGTCTACTACCCTCAAGCGAATGGGCTCGTAGAACGGTTCAACCGCGTCTTCAAGAATTTCGTCCAAGTAACGATGCTGGAGCATCGACCGCTTCGGCCAGCGGTGCTTGACTGTTTAGGCGTCTACCGCTGCACGCCGCACGCTACGACGGGAGTTGCCCCGGCTCTGTCGCTTCATGGAAGGTTACCCAGAATCCGCCTGGACGTTGTAGGGCACCCGTCACCATCCTTCTTCAAGGATCCGGCAGGGGAACTCCGCCGTCTGCGCCAGCGCGTGAAGCGCAAGCAAGACAGTAGCCGAAGCTATACAGACCATCGCCGTGCTGCCCGCAAGACCAAGGTCTCAGTCGGCGACTTCGTTCGTGTAAAGAAGACTTCCGTTGCCTGGAAAGGGGATCTCTCCTTCAGCCGTCCCCGGAAAGTGGTGGGGCAGCGAGGACCATCATCCTTCCGCCTAGATGACGGAAGAACGTGGAACGCTTCGAAGCTGGCCAAGGTTCCTGGGGATTCAAGCACTCTACCGCCAGGTGGAACCTGGGACCCGTCAGCAAGGAGCTATGGCTCCTCAACTGCTCATTGGGCGCCTGAACTCCTTCCAGCTTCGGCTGCTTCAGAGACCCCTCCCCCTGAGCACCCAGCTTCCGTCCACCCGGTGCCTGACGCCGAGCCTCCTTTTGGGGAGGATCTAGATGCCATCCGCCCAGACCCCGATTCCGAGCCTGCGCCATTGGTGGTTCCGACTGTCCCGGCAGCCGAGCAGCAGGGGGTTCCTTCTCGACGTGTTCAGCCACCAAGAGAGAGGCGGGCTCCAGATCGCTACGGCGATCACGTTTAAAACCTTTCGAAAATTAATTTTCCTACATACCAAACTGTTGACTTGAAATTTGTTCCTAAATGTGTAAAATATTGATTGTTTTCCATTTCAGTCGTTTTCATGTTGTACATAGCCAACTTACAGCACTAACATACTAACCATTTACTAACCTACTTACTATTTTTTTTCTAAGGAGGGGAATATGTTGTGTCGTAGTTTCGGTTTCTGTATTACGTCTGTAAACTTTGTATTGTGTGTGTCGCTAGTGTTGTAGTGTATATAAACATGTGTTCATATAATAAAATTATTATTCAACTTCTCGTCACTTCAGCCTCGGTCGCAACACTACAGTGACAACAGGCACTTTCAACGTTTTGTGGCACCAGTAACGGCATCTTGTCCGTCCACAACTTTCCACTTTTGGCTGTTTCACTAAGGTGCCAAATCTATCCTCGAAAAATCATGAGCCGGTCGAGCAATCAAGACATCAGTCAAATAAAGTGCAGTGATGCTGTTTGAAGAGCCCCTTTGCCTGAGCGCTACGGTTGCGCTTGCAGGCTGTAGGCCCGAGTTGAAGGTCGACAAAGCAGGAATAAAAACTGATCCAATTCTATTCCCACTCCATTTCGAGCAAAGGCAACTAAGTCCATTACCATTCAATTCCGGAGCCGAGGAAGTTTGCAATGATTCCTGAATCATTCTTGATACAAAATAACAACTCCGTTTTTTTTTTGTTATTTTTGTAATGGAAATGATTGGCTGAGACGACGACAGCCGTACATACTTGGTTCCAAGAAAAAAAAAAAAAACTTGCGCCTGAGCGTTAGATTGCTGCGGATCGGCAAATGGCAGAACAATTAAACGTCTCCGTTTCCCCAGTTATCCTTCGTTTCACCTTGTCATTCTTGACAATATAAATTTCATCTAAATTGCCTTTGAAATGTTGATTAAACACAGATTATGCTTGACTCGCCAGACCTGCGCGAGTATTTCTGATAAATACCTGCTGTCCTGAGCTAGGGTAAAATTATGCCTCAAGCGGCAATATTTAATATCGTAAACCAAAACACGAGTGCATACCACTCAATCTAATTTCTTAAATAAATATTAAAACTAAACACTGGGTGAGAGCAGGTTTGTTTTGTTTGTTTTGTTTGTTTTTGTTTTTCTCCCGCGTACTGTTGGTGCTCGCTTGGACATTAGTGATATTTTCGAATTCCCTTGATAACATTAGTTCGTTAGAATGTCAAAAATCTTTCAAAATTTGATTTGTGGCATCACAGCGTTTTTTGTGTGTGTGTGTTTGTAGTACGTATAGAGAATAACACATATACTGTATTTCTCATTATGGCTAGTAATGGCGATTTTACAAAGATCGCATGACTATTGCCATTTGAGCAACCTCGCCGCTGTCCACGATAGCAGCACATTGCACAAGCTCATGTGTACCGGCGAAGTCGATGTCTTAATGTGCTAAAATTGTCATCTCAATATTATCTAGGCAAAGTGTCTAGGAGCAGAATATTTCAGGCAACTTATGTCTTGTGCGAGCGAAAGTTCCAGAAGTCGAGACAGTTCAATAGGTTTAGATACCTATCTATGTATTTCATGGAAAAACCAAGCTGCGTTAGAGAAGTTGAAAAAAATCGTCTGTTAGGCCTG